ATTTTCAACAAACCACTGAATTGCTGTCTGCTCCTCTAATCAGAGCGTCTTTAATGCTGCAGTTCCTTGACAGTATCGGGAAATGCCATGAGAAATCTAATAAAAATCGAGATCTCTGGTGAGGCAGCTTTGATAGAATGGATGTTTCCTACTGTTGACTTCAAAGGAAAGAAAGTGAAGCTAATATTATTGTTGTTTCTTTAAAGCACTCCTTTGGCATCAGTGCATGACACCCTCCACTCCAAAAGCAGAAAATACTTTCCAGACTTCCACAACATTCCCTCGAGTCAGGCATGGAAACTTATTGTTTCGGAGAAGTAACTCAAAAGCACATAAGCTGATGCACGCAGACCTATTTTCCCCACAGATGCAGGATTGTCCCTTAGATTCAGCTGTAGATGTGGCCTGTAGAGATCTCGTTACTCACCATGCATTGCTGGGCACATGCTCCCCACTGACCGCCGACAGCGTAATTCTTGCTATCTACTGGGAACAGAGATTCCGCACTGGTTTCCTTAGCAGCAGAAGTGATAATAGGCCCCTTTCTCCTGTAACCATAATAACCAAGCTGCTGCCCATAAAGAGTTACAGACATGGCCGAGCCTTCTGATGAGAGCTTTCACAGGTTTACGACATGTCAAACCACCCGCGTCAGAGATGTACAGTAAAAATATCAGGAAGTTGAGCAGGACCTCTATCTGCTATGTAATCAGTACAAAAATCTGTTTCATAGGTAAAGCGCAAATGGTTAAGTTGTGTGAAGTAGCGATTTGAACACAAGATCTGTGCTGGAATGCTGGAATTGCCTAAAGATGCCTTTAGGCAAGTTACTTATCTTCTCTGTGTCTCAATTTCCCCATGTTTAATGCAGTACCTATAGTGTCTCACTCTGAGGGATTCAAAAGAACTGACTGCAAACAGCACAGGTGCTGAATTTCACTGTGTACAATACAGCACCCAAACTGTTGCATAAGGACTATTCCCCAACTGAATACGTTGCATACGTAAAGAAAAAAAGATTCTGCTTCCAAGTCTTAACTCGGCAAGGACACGATGTGACAGGCAGGTCTATAACACACTCAGGAGGCATTTGTTTCTTTGAAACACGTGAACTAGAGACATCAACAATGGCTATTATCACTGTCCAGATCCTTTCATAGATACCACATATGTTATGATACCCAATTTCTTTAAACACTAATTCCATGTGTAGAAGTTATGTAAAGATAAATGGATTTACCTTGATCATAAGTGCAGGCCTGCAGCACAGGCTCCCTAAACACGTATGCACGCAGTGGTGGGAACTTAATTTTCTACTCTTTATGAAGCCACAAGAGCGCAGGAGGATAAACTGATAAACCAAGTATGGATTTGTCTAAATCAAACAATTCTAGACACTAAATGTGCAGCTCTATATTTACATTTGCAAGCAGAGGCTCAGACTGAGGATGCCTGGAGATCAGCAGGGTTCTATCTACCAAGGTAGTGGAAAAACTGAAAGACAGCAAAAGCTGAAGCTATGGGAAACTTTTTTCTTTTTTAAATAAAAACCATTTAAGCTTGCTAATTTTTGCTGTCTCAGACAATCAAAATTCCAATTGTCTGGGACATCAAATCTGGAAAAGCATGAAATTAATCTTCAGAAGTTAAAGTCTTAAAGGCATTGCATCATTATTTTTGTTGGATATATTTTTGATTATAATGCAGATGAACCCCAAATTTAATAAAACTAAAATAACATGAGTTAAGTATGAAACATAACAGGATATTGCAAAGAGATTAGGTAGTTTCCTTTAGACTACTTGCAGAGCCCAAGGAAAAACCAAACTGAGGGACACAATGACGAGAAGGCACTGCTTAATTAGAATAGTTGACAGAATATGAAAGCACAATACTCATAGTACTGGCTTTGGCGACGAAACACAGCAAGCAGAACACGGACCCGAAACATCAGTAGTTCTCTACACCAGATACTGTTTTGCCTGTCGACTGTCTGTAGTAAAGAAAGCCTCAGCTAAATTTAAACCAGCTGTAGCGATGAGAGTGTTACAGTTGGACTGGAGGAAGCTTACCTCATGAAAGTATTGTGGAAACTGCTGTTGGAAAGATAATAAAAGGATTAACTGCAGTTTTAGCAAACCATTTACTTTTCAATCAAAATGTCTCATGTATTTCCTGTTCTCAAGTAGCTCGGATTCCAAAATTCCTTTGTCTATTACAGTACATAGTAGCAAAGCCTGTCATAAGAAATTAATAATTTTACATGGAAAAGTACTTTTATGTATGAGGGCGGGCGCTGCTCGCTGTTAGCTTCTCCTGAGCAGTTCGATACCTAGTCAGCCAGTAATTTTACAGAGAGGAACAAAATCAAGGGCTTAAAAAGAAAGTACAATGGGTAATTGTGAACAGGGAAAGAAAATCTCCACTACAAATACCAAGAGATGTAAAAAGTTACTTTAACAGGGCTACAGCAAAAACGAAACAAAATCTCAAACCTCTGCAGACAGAGAATGAGTTGCTTTCTTCATTTGCAGGAATAACAGCACAATTATTACCACATCAAAAGAAAAGCCAGCATTTAAAGTGACATGACATCACTGCACAACGAAACACTGCGCAGCAACCCTTGTTTAAAGTGGAATGGAATTCGCCGGGCAAATAATCCCCACTTGATATTAATAACCTCAAGGAGCTGTGTTGCAGCTTTGGATCTTGTCCCTGCTACATCAAGGTCTTTCCAGGATAGAAAACTAAATTTGCAAAGAAGACGTATTTTGCATGTGCTCCCTTGGATCCAGCTTCACACCACACGGGATTCCAGGTTGCAACATTCGATTCACGGATACCTCTGCTTAGAGCGGAGGGCTCTCATTGTGGGAACAGAAGAGTTAACTGCAAGTCGTGCAACGTAAAGTTCCTAATTCTCATTGGGCCGTTCCATGTATTGTTCCACGTATGGGAACAACTCAAATAAAACAGATCTTGTGCTTACATGTGCCATGAGGTCTGTCTGCAGTATCAGATGCAAAGGTTTTTCCAACCTATTCACAATGTTAAACCTTGAGTTGTTATCAAAGGTTCTTGAATGTAGATGAACATAATTGAATTCTATGAAAGTAGGAAACTTTTAACAATTGCTAAGATATTACATGATTTCACAACTCTGGTTTAGCCAGTTTCCTGTAGGAATGGGAATGTAACATTAGAAATCTGCTATACAATACCTGTCGAATATGCATTTTGCAGCAAAAGACAGAAGTTCCCTCACCCACGGAGCTTACTGAATCTTTCAGCATCACAGTAAAGCTGATCAGGGCTTCACATGTTAAGTATTTCTTTTAAAAAGTGTGAGATAAAAGTGGAAAGAAGACTGATGTCACTCCAGATGACAAAGACACTACTAAAAAGAAAAGTAGACTAAAATAACGTCTGTAAGTACACTTTCACAGTATACTTATTTATGGTTTTGTTTGGAAAGATGGAATTAACTTGCATTATCCTTTGACAATTTATGACCAACTAAAGGACATGCATAGGAAGTTAAATTCCTTTGTACTTTTACAAATTCTGATAAAGCTACTTCTGGAAAAGAACAAGTCCGTTCTTTCTCCCAAAGGAAAAAGAAACAGGTAAGTCTCGGAGCGTTTCCATTTTATCTTGGACAACTTGATGGTGTTCTTTAAATATCTGCATTGTTTCCAGTATTATTTGAGGGAATACCCACTGGACAGCACAGACATTAAGATAATATTTTTCATTTATACAACAGAAGTAAAAAGATCATCAGGATGACCACTTACAGAGAAGATTTTTCTCTGGAAAAGATTCTGAATACTGTTTTCTTCCTTCTCCCTTCCATAACCATTGCAGGCCAGCAAGCTTTTTCTTGAACAAGTGACAAAAAGCAAGCTTTTTATATAAACATTTTTTCCTATTCCTCTATAGAAAGCTACAGCTTGCCATGGAAAAATTTTTTCTCGATCTAACTCCCTTACAAGCATTTTCCATCGTATCATTCTCTGATCAAAACAACAGAATAGACATACAGCCGAAAATTCTGCCTGTTGGGAACCACAATCTGCGGCCACAACTGCTCCCTTTGTTCTTACTTATTTGTGTGTGCGCACGTGTGTGTGTGTGTGTGCGTGCACACGCGTGCGTGTGTGGGTATTACAAATAAGACTTTCCAAATTTCATGGCCCAATTTGGAAGCTTATGTCAAACTTGTTTTGCTTCATCTGTTTCAGACAGGGTCTTATATCATTGTTGTTTCAAACATGTGGAAAGCTTAATGGAAGTCATTAACTTTTATTTTAGTTTGGCCATATTGTCATCATGGTGGGCAGATGCAGAGATGGTGTTATTCCCAAGATCCTCTTTTTGGAACACTGATGTTGTTTACATTTTCTTGATCAGAAGAGAACAATGGTTTTTACTTATTTTTAAAGCTCTGGTTTGCAAATTAAAAAAGCCCCTAACAACCTTTGAAAACGTAATTAAAGATATTCCTTTTATTCTTTTAACTGTTTAAAAGCCTTAACAAGTTTATTTTTCTTTTCTAAACACCCATTTGAAACTCCTGCACTCACAATGCCATGGGTTATTTTGCAGCTGAAGGAATGAAAAGAATTTCATTAGATGTGTTTTATGTTTCTTGATTAAAAATGTCACCCCAGGCTCAGTGACTTTGTTTTACGTTAAATGACTGCTACATGCTTTGATCATCACTTTATTAATGCTTTAATGAATATTAAAAAAAATAAAGCACTGTATTAAAAGTTAAGCTCTCATGTAAGGAAACTGAATCCCTTTTCCAAGAACTATAGTACTGCTTACTCAAACATTTCCTTCTAGATTAGAATTTTCTCCAATTCCCCTTTAGCCTGCCGCAGACTGAGTTACAGGAAAGCACAACAATTATAGTGGAATAAGACTGAAGAAAGAGCAAGAAAGAGAGCAGTGTAGCACGTTTCTATTCAAACAGTACCTTCCAGACTTACCATGCACTTGTTTGGTTTCTCTCCAGAGTGAACCCTCATATGAATCAGCAGTTTGTAACGAGCATTGAAGGGTTTATACCGGCGGACACAGCCTGCCCAAAAGCAAGTGAAGTCCTCTCCTTTCCGCTGGTCAATGTGAGTCTTTTCTATGTGTCTGACCAGTTCGTCTTGTTGGTCGTAAGTGGCACTGCAGTCAATCCACCGACAGACCTGTTTGCCATTGCTGAGGTCCTGTTCGTCCCCATCACTGGGCTGAAGGGACTTTGGAGACATAGAGGCATGTAAGTGAGGCAGCGTCCCTTGAGCCTGGTTTAGCTGCTGGTGCAGATGGTAAGGGGGAGGCAGTCCCTGGTGTTGTCGAAAAAGATCAGCAGCAGAGGAATAATCGTCAGCTGGTTCTTGTTTTAAGAAACTCACCTTCTGGGTGCCGTGTGAGGTGTTCTGATGAGGAATGCTAGTACCATTCATCATAAGGCTGAGGCTTCCATTCTCCTCCACTTGCTGCATTTGTATCTGCTCACAGTCACCTCTGTCACATTCAGCAGAAATAGGGACAAGACATGCTGGAGGGGAGGGAACACTGCAAGGGTTTCCAGGCTGAGAGCAAGACTGGGGCCGAGAGGATTTTTGAGCACTGTGATGACTGATCTCCACAGGATGAGAGGAAATGCCAGCTGAATTAGTTCGCAGTCCATTCACACAGGTGACCAGTGACGTCTGTGATGTGCGGATGATAGCTGTAATATCAATTCCTTCAGCCGAAGACGGCACAACAGAGATGCATCTCTTCTTCAGGTTGCTTGTTTGTAGCCTGGCTGAGTGCTGAGGGGTGCCAAGTGACAAAGGACCCAGGGAGGAGCTATGTTCATTATTAAACAAGTAGGATGAAAGTGAATTTGTAAAGCTATTATTCATTAGGTCTATTTCAGGATGCAGACTACCGGAGGCTCTCAGCTCCATCCCCTCCATAATCCTCCTATGTGTGGAAGCCTCAGACAGAACCTTATAATCACTCAGGCATTCTTGCTTAATGTGCTGAGCCGGGTGACTTCCATTCAGGCATGGAGCAGCAGAATCGACGGAGTCTTGAAACCTGGGCGACCTGTAATACAGTTTTCATTAAGCATCACTAACTACCACAGGATTTATGATTTTTATACAAGACACAACACTTGTTAAGCCCTGGAGAATGGAAGCACTTGCTCTCTGCTGAACGTTGCCTGTCTAATGCAGCAATTACACCAAAAAAACCCCTGCAACGCTTCCTCTACAACCCTTGTAAAGGCAGCATCGTTTTACACGGGATTAATTTTACACAGTGGGTTACGCACAGAACAGACAATCTCCCCTCCACTGCTACGGGCAGTTCATCAATCACAATCTAGGTTTTCAATGCATAATAGATCAGGCAAAACAATAGCTGAGAATGAAGTTTGAGAGCTTTGGGCATTTTTTAGTAATTCAAATATCAGCATTTTCCTCAGCACACACTGGGAAAACGCCTTGGCATCCCTGTTCACACACATCAAAAAAGGCTAGCTGAGCTTTGCTTACATGTCAGGGAGATGCTTTCCTTCACTAAATCAAAAAAAGGAGCAAGATCAGCGGGGAAAAAAGGAATACAAAGAAAGCACAGCTCACTTTCAAGCAGCAGTCCAGAGGCAATGAGAGATCGGCTGAGTATTTACTTCTAAGAAGTGTACAAAAGATAACTATGAAAAGTTCACAAGCGGTAGATCTAAACTGTCAGTCCAGGTATTCCCATTTCCGTTTTCCATATTAAAGTCTACATGGGTCTGCAAATCAAAAGAAGGTCGCTCTGCAGAAGTGATTTTTAATCTTTTTCGATGTGTGCTCAATCCAATCACTCAGGAAGCAAAACCTCGGGGAACCCCACACAGACACTGCAGAAGAGCACTGCATTTAGGAAATGTTTCCTCCTGACATTTTCTTCCAAGCAGTTAGCAATTCGTTTATGCCTTAAGATCAAACACTTTATCTCAGCTATAAACGTTTACTGTGGATGACCCAACAGTGTGGTTTTTCTTAGGACCAGCGGGTGTTCCTTACATATCCCTAAAGCATGGTGGGGTTTAACCTATGGCTTCATCGTGCAGCAATGTGTCAGACCGAGAAGAGGGAACAGTATATCTGTGTGCAGGAAAGCTGTACCTGTAAACCCTCCAGAGAGGTGCTCCACGGCTCTGACGCTGACATGTTCCACTTAAATGCATTTTAGGCTTTTTTTTGATGCTAGTACCACAAAAGCTGAAGAAAACCTGGCCATTTGACAACTTGTGTGTGACACTGCAGCTAAGACGAATCTGACACATTTTAAAGCAGGAAAACCATATGCGTAAGGTATTTTGGACATACACTTCCTTGGTAACACCTCTGAAAGAATTACCAATTAGGGAAAAAAAAAAACCAACAAAACAGAACCAAACCAAAAAGCTTCAAAAATATTTCATTCCAATGGAATGAAGGTTGTCAAAAAATGACACCTGTCTGCGGCACACAGCTGGCCACGCTGCATTCACTACACACAGGTTTCTTAGCTCCAGCAGTCTGCAGCCAGTAGGGCTTGATATAAAACAAACCTTTAAGGTCACGAGAGAAGTGAAATTCCCCACCATTCATTGCTACAGAACAATCACATCTTGCATTTGCCACCAGAAGTTTAAAAAGACTGCATTTAAAAATTTTAGAGGTTTCCATAATCCATTAGCTGTAATTTCTCCCTTTAGGTTTGCACAGTTGATCTCAGGGTAAACTTAAAGCACCTGGTTCTGCAGATGGTAAATTCAAAAAAAAAAACCCCCAACCAATCACAACAGTATTCCTACATTATTTTTTAACATTTACAGAACCATATGTCTGTAAAATATGTGGCATAAGCATATGCAAACACCTTTTCCAGCACATGTTTGGGAAACCCTGTCTTGCTTGCTTGTAGCTTCATTGCTCGGTAGAAAGTGTGCTGTTTTAAACTCATTCTCAGAATGGTTTTACAGCATACCGTGCCAGGCGCAATATTTCTTTCTATTTAGTTTCTTCTGTATGAGAACTCTTCTGCATAATTCAGTTTGTATCATAGTTTACTGGTCCCAAAGCCTCAGGCTAAAGTAAACACAGCACATTTCTTCTATGATATAAAGCTAACCCAAGCCTTACATTTCAGCCTGGGATAACTGTTATGTTATTAAGCATTATGTTAACTGCCAGAAATCCACGTGAGGAGTTCAGTTCAGAGTACCTGCAGGATGGCTACAAACATCCCTGGCCTGAAAAATGCTAGGTTCCCAAAACTTCCAGCAACATCGATCTACATTTTCAGCACAAGATCTTACTCACAGTCAGGACTGTATCGCTGTGATGCTGCTGCGCAGAATATGAGACATACGAAACAGGGGAGTTTTGAACCAAAAGGAAAGCTGGAATACCTTATTTCAAAAGCAAATGAGATGAAGGCACCAAATTCATGCTTCTGATTGCTGCAGCCATGTCTTATCCGTGCTCTGCCTATAGAATGATAAGCACAGACTGCTTGTGCAGATCAGAAGCAAGCCCTTTCTGGAAGCTGCAGTTTTCTCTGTAAGACTGCATATTTAAATACATTATATACCCTGTGCTAGTTAACTGTGCTGGGACAATCTGGCACTCTTTCAGTTTCCCAGTGTTTGAAAGTCGGAGTGCTTACTGTCAACACTGTATTAATGCAAACTTTCTGTATTCCGGGCAGAATTTTGCCATCGCTGTTCTCAGGAAAGCCCTGCTTGTCCCTCCCAGTCCTGGTTGTGGGGAGAGAAAGGACACAGAAAAAAAAATTGATGTGAAAGAGAGATGAGATATCTGGCATCCAGCTTGCTGGGTGGCTCCTCTTATACCCATTGACTATTTGTTTCTGCATCTTGCTGTTACAGCCAGGGATCAGGACCCATGTACCAGGGATGGGGAGTCCGAGGCCACAGAACTGCTGCTTAAGCACATGAAAGCCAAGTGCAAGGCCTTCAAAGAGCAACAGCAACCTCTTAGAGGATACTAAGGCAGTGTTTCCAAAGAGACTCCCTTACGTGGTAATTGGAGCCAGAGTACGAGGCCAGTAGCACCACGCCAGAAGTACTGCAGTTCCCAACTGCCCTCAGAGGAAGAGATGACTGTATCTGAAATCTCCAGATTATTTACAAAACATACATGCCTTCAATTGCCACCGTAAATGTGCAATCGGTGATAACTGACAGCTTTAAGAAGCCGGAGGGGATTGTTCTGCTGCACATCCAGAGACCCTTTGCAACACTATCTGACTGCTCTGATGTCTTCCCCGGGTTTTATGTGCCAAGCACTGAGCACAGTGTGGGCGGGTTTGCTGTGTCTGATAATGGATTATTTGACAAAAGGCCAACATTAGCTGTGTGCTGCCTCCAGTTGTGGTAAAGAAGGTATTAGGACTTTTTCAGCCTCGCACACATTGCATATACAGATAGCATGTTGCAGCGCTGACGCCACATAACGTAAAAGCTATTAACTGAGCGGAGAAAAGGGGCCAGGAAGAAGAGAGATCGTGATTCTTGGAATAAGAATCCCTACATTTTCCTGCAATAAAGCGATTCAGGGAGAACCTGAAGGGTATAGAAAATCTCAGTGCACCAAGGGGAAAAAAGGACAAAGCCAATCATAATCCCAAATCCTAAGGGAGATTTTGAATTGTTAGAGATGCTCTCTGGTTTGTTTGGGTTTTCCTTGGACATTGCATATCCTAGAAATGCAGAGTGGTTCAAAGCTCAACCCAGAGAGGCTGTTTGAATTTGTAACTCCTTTATTTCTGTGCTGGTCATTAAAGCTGAACAGAACAACCAAACAGAGTTTGCCTGACTTCTCTGTGCTCTAGTACCTGGCCATTTCAGCCCCATTTCTCTCATTTATTTTCTAGTGAAGGCTGAAAGCGGGGGAGGCAGAGAGCACCTTTGGCTCCCATTGACTTCCCTGGAACCTGCTGGGCATTCACTCCCACCTCAGTTATGTTCTCCTGTTTTCAGGTCTTCAGGGAAAGACCATGTTCTCTGCTACTTGCTTGGCAAGAACCTTTAGCATCATAAACACCACGAACAGAAATCATCCCAACTGCTGTCCACATTCACATGCCAAGGTTTTGGCTCTGTACCGTGTGTCTCATGAGTAGCATAATGACAAATTACGGCACTGTGTCTATGAGATCCATAGAGCAGAGCTGGGCATTGGCTTTACCTAACAAAACCCACGCAGACAGAAATAGTAGGTGGACATAAAAGCAGAGGATAGCCAGTAGGACACACAAATAACCTGTAAAGAAATGGAAGAATCCTTCAAGATATTCTTCAAGCATTTATGAACTGTTGCTTAGAAGCAGCAGAGCCTCAAGGCTTTAGACCAAGGGGAGGGAATCAGGCCTGTCGCCTGCTGCTCTCTCGTGATATGCAGCAGACAATCCTTTATGTTGTCCTGGGAATCCTCTTCCAGATGGGGGCTGGAAGGGGTTCATGTTTCTGAGGGTGGGTACTGCGATCCCCGGTATGCAGGTATCTGTCATTTCCTCATTATAGATTTTACAAAAAGGTTCAAAAAGATCTAAGCAGAGTACTCTCTTCCTCCTTTCGTTTGCTCCTGCCCTAATTATCTTTGTTTCATAATTGTCCTCACTGACAGAATAAAAAAAGGTTGATAACTGCCAGTCCCACATTGAGCCATAAAGAAGCTGGAAGCGAGCAGGCTTACATCCAGATGCAGCAGTATCTAAAAAGCTCTGTAGCAATAGCAGAATATTTTGTTATGTGGCATGGATATTATTTGTCCTTTTCAAACAAACAAACAAACAAACAAACAGAAAGCTCTTTCCACTTGCTTGCCATATTGCTGTGCCTCCTCCTCCTGAAAACACAGATGTTCTTACTCCACCAGCAAATCAAAAAGGGGAAGCAAGACATAAATACGTATCATAAAATCAGAAACAGCCAGATTTCCAAGACCAAGCTAGATGCCCTTATTTCCTCTTGCTGTGACTATGGAAATTTGGGCTCGATAGTTCCATGCACAGAGCGCCAATTATTCTAAGTATCTAAGATAAAGGCTGCAACTTTACTGAGGTTTTTCTTTTCTACAGCTCTTCAAAAAGGTCAAGATTATTCCATATTGTATCCCCTGCCAAAAAGCAGTGTAATTAAAATGGATGGACGGATTTTAATTTGTAGCAGGCTTCTATTCACAATGGATGTCTGTTTAGGGTACTTGTTTAAAATCTGGTAATGTTAAATTTGTAACAACAAAAAAAAATAATGGAGTTCTGTGTTTTCATATAATTAATTTATAGCAAATGTTTAAATGGAGATTCTGTTCATAGCATATCCAACTACAGTGTATATATCAAAACCAGAGACCAAATTTTCACATTACGACCTTAAAAGCAAATACCAAGGATGTGGCTGTACGGGAACATTGAAAATACTTCATTAAATGAAATGTTGTAGAAATAAAAGTGGCATTGGCTTCCTGTAGGTTTAATGGTGGCATGCCAAATAGCCATGTGGGAGACGTTGGTTTGGGAGTAAGTATCATCCCTGCCTTCCAGGCTGCAGTTTGGAAACAACACGGCGTTGGGGTGCAGGGCGGAGGTACAGAGAGGGCAAGTCTGACCCTGCTTAAGCCCCTGGCAAAACTCTCATCGACTTCTGAGCATGCTGGAAGAGCCTCGCAGAGGAGCTGCGTTTAAACTTCAGTGCAGGGGGGCTGTAGTTGTAGGGACCTCTCCTGACCCTGCCTTGGGCAGTTGTCTGTGCACACACGCACGTTCCTGCAGTGTGAACCTGCAAATGAGCAGCGTGGTTAAATGAGCATCCAAAGGACTTCCAAAATTAAGGAAAAGCCAAAAACACTCTTCCAAATGTACCACCCACAGATGCTACTGGGAATAGTTCCAACCAAGAAGCACTCCAGAAGAGCAAAGCATATCAAGCAGTAAAACTTGCAGCGATACCTTATATCCGAGTGTGTCAGGTTCAGCTGACCAACGTGGAGCCGTCTCTCACAGGACAGAGGGTGGTCTCGCATAAGTGGGGTTCCTGTGTGGATGAAGAGACCTTGCCTGCAGACAGGTACTGAGCTACTTGTCATCTCCACGTCCATCATGTTCTTCTTCTCAGAGATCAAATTACAATGACTGTAGCCACCGTTCACTATCAAAAAGAGAAAAAATCATAAGCCTTTGACTCTCTGTGCTCATTACTTCGTATGCTCGTTCACGTCTTTTGTATGCTTAGTTTGGATCTCCTTGTAAAATTCTTGTAAATGCCATGGCAGGGGAAATGAAACGTTTCACAAGGAAGCAAAAATTACATCCAAAGGAATTTGGATCTGTGAATTATGGCTATTTATTTCTCTTTTAAAGTTTTGTGGCTATTTTACATTTCATATTCTAACTCAAAAAAACTTAGTCTGATAGTTTGCCTTCCTTCTGTGTATTTTTATGGTAGAGTCTCGCCTGTGTTAGATTTTGGAGAGGGATGTTTCAAAGTCTTTTTATTTTCAGGGAGGGGAGCTCTCTGAGAACAGTGACATAAGTCAAGCTTCTCTTTGCAAACAATTATCTTTGTGATTATGACTTTAGATGGGCATGTTCCTACTTTGCTGGCAGGTCAACAGTGTGAAAAAAGAAAACTCATTTTGGTTCAATGTATACATTTAACTGTATTTTCCAAGTAAGCTATTATCATTAATGCTAATAAAGATGTATTCTGCCCTGGTGAATATTACATTTTATCAGACTTGGGAAAACAGACTGGAGCTATAGCAATATTCTTCAGAAATATATACATGTATATCTAACCACAAATGCTAATCTGGCTGAAAAGAGTGGCCAAAGGGGGAACTGAAAACTTAGATTGCATTGGTCAAACACTAGCAATTCAATTTAATTCAAAGCATATTAGTTAAGTTTTTTACCTCCGGTGAACTAATCAAATACTCACAGATAAGAACGCATAAAAGTATTTGTAACATATTTAGCCTTCAGAGGCTAGCTAAAAAACTCACAATAGCCATTTACCATCATTTCCACTAGTGTACATCAAACATGTTTTTAAAATATCAGGTCTCCCTCTAATCTTTTTTTTCATGGAGACAAAACGTAATGGTGTCAGATACTAATGGCAAGTAAATCTCTGTGGTTTTCATACAGAGTCCAGCAAGTAACTCCTTCAGCCCCGGACCCAGTGCTCATGGTGACGGGTGCTGTAAAGCTAGACCACACCGTAGTTAGTCCATACTTTACCAAGGCACTGCAGTCAAAAACAAGCAACCTAAACTGAATACCTGACTTTTAGACAGCTGCAGTTGAGCACAATGAATCCCTCTGAGTAGCCATAGGACTCAGAAATGTCCTCATCACAAACAGCCTTCTTTACGCTGCTCTCAGGTCTGGTCCTTATTCTGCTGAAACCCACACTGGACCGGTCATTGACAGCACAACTTCTACCATTTCAACACCTCAATCTGTGGTATCCAGAGCAGGTACATATTGACATAGAATCATAGTATGGTTTGGAACTGGTCTTTCTCAATCTTTCTTAGAAGCCTCCTTCACATATTGAAAGGCTGCAATAAGGTCTCCCTAGAGCCTGCTCTTCTCCAGGCTGAACACCCCAGCACCCCTAGCCTTTCTTCACAGGAGAGGTGTTCCAGCCCTCTAACTGTTTTAGTGGCCTCTTCTGGACCTTCTCCAAGAGGTTCAGGTTCCTCTTGTACTGGGCTCCCAGAGCTGGATGCAGTACTCCAGGTGGGGTCTCACGAGTGTGGAGCAGGGGGGAGAACCACCTCCCATGACCTGCTGGCCACGCTTCTTCTGATGCAGCCCAGTATACGATACAATCATAGAGGTATAATATTTCATAATTAAGCAGATATCACAGTATCTCATGATACTTTCACGATATAAGGGTAAATAAAACTGTACTAATGAATTTTTGCAATCACTGCAGGTTTGTTACGTCACTTCTGAAGTTCCCGTCAGAGATGGTGCTCACTTTAGTCAGTCACTGCTTCAGCACGGCTCCTCAGAGCAAAGGTACCCTTAAGAGACATGAACCCACCACTTCCCCTTACGGACAGCTGCTATCCCTATAGCTAACAAGGGGGAGAGCCTGAGCTGCTGTGGTCCTCCATAATTATAGTCAATGAATGTTTTGAGAGCAATGAGAATCACTTTCAGGTTTTTGGTGAGTATAAATGGGAAGAAACAGGTGACTGGGGAAGGCAGAAAAACTCTCTGGTAACTGGAGAAATTGTGAAAAGGATCACAGCACAAAAGTCCATTCTCCTCCACTGGCTGGGCTCCACAGCCTCCCCGTGATGCTCCACGGCACCATTGTAATCGAGAAGACCGTGGCAGATGAAGACGTAGTCCAGGCAAGCATCCAGACCCATAGAAAAGAGTGGGTACATATGACACCCAAATTACAAGTCTCATGAGGCATTATTGTAACATCTCCAGAATAGAATTTCCAGCGAAAAGTTTTTAGCGTTTGGCTGATACACTGCGTTTCTTGACCATTAATTTCTTTGATTTATATTTTTTTGAGAGGACAAAAATCTTTAAAATTGGGAAAACAATACTGGGTTTTTTCCTACCCAGCTTTATCACAATGCCAAGGCATGTAATAAGTCTTAGGAAGTGTAGGCCAGCTTTATTTTATATCAAAAAGCCCTTGTAAAATTTTTAGGAGTGATACATGAGATTTTAAAGAGAAACCAATTTGTATTTAAACTATACATAGTATAATTTAAAGCCTGTATAATCAGACTTGTGGTTGTAAATTTGGATACGTGAATCACATTCAAACAGTATCTAAATACATCGTTGGACACTGGTGAAATAAGTTCTATGCACTTTGAAAGGCCACACCACCAAGGGAAGTTCGTAAATCAGTCGCACCTACAATACCTAATTCACAGTTCCTCACTTTTCCATCAGCAATGTTACCTGGAATACATTCGAGATGTATCTTCCCTTCAAAATACTGCGGATTCTTTTAAAATATTTAAGATTGATACTGGACCTGTAATAAAAACACTTTCTTTCACTCCCCAAATTATACAAGTCGGAAATTCATTAAGGCTTTGTAAATACGCATTTTATCACATCATCAAAACACAGAAACTTGAAGCTTCCACTGATGTTCAGTAATACCAACTGCAGCACACACTGATACCTGTTGGTGTGAAGATGGAGATTTCCTAGAATAACATGAACATTACCCCTGCGCTGTCAAAAATCATCTCCTCTTGTAGCTGCCAAATCACAAAATACATTTTCTCCCTGCAAAGGGACAGAACACCTATGCCAAATCCATGGAATCACGTGTGTTTCAGCCAACCCATCGCACATTTGCCTTCACAAAATACCTTACAGATCCCTTGACAAGAGCTAAAGATTTCTTGCACAACAGTGCCTAGAGTGAAGTCTCACTTGCATCAAAGCCCTCTGACATGTGCCTGCCACATGGGACTTGGAACGACGACGGACAAGGAACAACACCAGCCACTCACTTTTCCCCCCCCCCCTGCAGCAACTAAAACAAGAACTGAAAGATTGTCTCTGGACACAGACAACCAGAGTCCACGTTCAACTGTTCACGCACGTGTGAAATCAAATTCATTGCCTCGGAAAAAAACGGAAAAAAAAGTCCGATTTACACCAGTGTAACTGAGAACAGAATCTGGCCCTTTGACAACTGGCTGTTTTATACGATATTAATATCACTGGCTGGCACACGCAAGATTTAAGCATTTTCCATGTCTGGAACTAGATTTCCTCTTTCACTGGTATCGAGGGGCCTTTAACCCACATACTGTAACTTACCAATAACAGATGAAAACAGCACATCACACTCCCTGCCTTCTACCAGAGGGCTCACCCTGCTTTCAGTAGAAACATAGCTATTTCATAAATCCATATAAAAAAACTGATCCTAATTTACAGAGAGTAACTCTAATAAAAGCAGAATGGTTTCTAGAAGGATCTCGTGGAAGTGGAATCCATCAAGGTAACTTTTGTCTCTCTCTTTCTGTCCTGCAGTTTTGATTTATCTCTTTACATTTCAATGCCCATGAAGGGAACGGAAGAGGTTAACACAGTAGTGTGCAAAGGCTAAAATCAGGCAATTCCTTCCACATGACTAATCAAATTGGTTCAGTTTTGGATATCTTGCTTCTTTCATTCTGGGGTAACCGACTTTGCGGAGTTTTTTCTTGATTTACGCCAGATGACGTCATGTGAGAACTGGTCCCTTGGACTGCGATGGGGCTGCACTCCTCAGGAAGGACTGCTCACACTGGACAGGATCTGCAGAGTCAGCTCGACACTTCTTGCTATGGGGTAGATTCTCCTAGAGGAAAACAGAGCACTTCCTCACACAGAGGGAAACCTATCTGTGTAACAATGAGATCAACACTTAAAACAACTCTACTAAAGAGCAATAGCTTGCTTTCTTCCCTTGTAAACACCTTGTTTACCATTCAGGAAGGCTTCGCTCTTACTGACAAAATTAGCTACTAAGGTTGTAGATAGATAAGAGCTAGAACTTACCAAAAGGGTAATTATTCAACAATAAACACACGCTGCAGTACTTTGGCGTTTACCTAATTAAGACCAATGAACAAGTAACTGAAACGATGTATAACTGAAATGAGTCATTCAAAATAGAGATCGACTTGAAATAGTTGCTTAACATACTTAGATATCCCCAGAGCATTGTGGGTTTTGCGGCGAAGACCAAACTAGGTCATTTGCTTTTTTTTTTCCTTACAGCTTCATTCTCTTTAATTACTTCTTTAAAAAAAAAATAATAAAATGCCATTCTCGGTTTTGTTTGGATGTGATGTCCAAAATTTACCACGACAACGCTGAGAAGCGGAACGCTGTTACTGGCAGCTCGATGAGTCACGTGAGACGGGTGAAAGACCAAACACTACCAGATTTTCTCAGACAAGTGAAAATCATCCACGCTGGAAGAGGCCATCAAAGGCCTCCACTGAGAGAAAATTATTAACTCAAAAGGTGCCAACACAGCAAAGCCACATATCGTAGGGCAGGTACCGGACCCATACTCAACACCCTATTTCACGTAACTAAC